AAATACTAAAGGACATTCATTGCAGGATTATTTGAAGTGGCAAAAAATTGTAAACAACTGAAATGTATGACAGTGAATGACAGTTATTAAAAAGAGAGTGCTCCATATATACTGACCTAAAAAGATGTCCACAGTGTATTGGTACATTGTTTAGTGAAAAAGACTTTTTGCAGAAGAACATGATCCTATTTCTGTTAGTAAAAATATGTGTATCCGAAAGCACAATATATATCATTGAAAAAAATCTGTAAGTATATTAACAGTGGTTAACGCTCAGAGATGGGATCTTGAGAAATTTCTACTTTCAAGTCCATGAATTTCTATGATGTTTGAATTTTATATAACTGTGTATTGCTTTAGTGGTCAGAAGAATCTGAAGTTTTTAAAAAATAAAATAAATATTACAATAGTTCTGTTGTTAGGTGCCATCAAGTCAGTTCTGACTCATAGCGACCCCATGTACAAGAGAATGAAACACTGCCCTGTCCTGCGCCATCCTCGCAATCATTATCATGCTTGAGCCCATTGTTGCAGCGACTGTGTCAGTCCATCTCATTGAGGGTCTTCCTCTTTTTCGCTGACCCTCTACTTTACTTAGCATGATGACCTTCTCCAGGGACTGACCCCTCCTGATAACATGTCCAAAGTATGTGAGATGTAGTCTCGCCATCCTTGCTTCTAAGGAGCATTCTGGTTGTACTTCTTCCAAGACAGATTTGTTTGTTCTTTTGGCAGTCCATGGTATATTCAATATTCTTCACCAGTACCACAATTCAAAGGCATCAGTTCTTCTTCGGTCTTCCTTGTTCATTGTCCAGCTTCCACATACGTATGAGATGATTGAAAACACCATGGCTTGGGTCAGACACACCTTATTGCTTAAAGTGACATCTTTGCTTTTTAACAGTTTAAAGAGATCTTTTGCAGCAGATTTACCCAGGGCAATGCGTCTTTTGTTTTCTTGACTGCTGCTTCCATGGGTGTTGATTGTTGATCCAAGTAAAATGAAATCTATGACAATTTCAATCTTTTCTCTGTTTATCATGATGTTGCTTATTAGTCCATTTGTGAGGATTTTTGTTTTCTTTATGTTGAGGTGTAATCCATACTGAAGGCTCTAGTCTTTGATCTAAGAAAAATAAACTAACATGAAAAAAGACAAGGTATCTGGGAAGGATAGAGCCAGGGGTCCATTTTGGCTGGAGTGTAAAGGATGTGTTATGGAGTTATTGTTAATAATGCTAGAAAAATATATTGGGGATTGTATTGTGACTAGGCCTCAAATGTGGAATCAGGAGGTTTAGACTTAATTTGTTAGGCAGAGAGGACTCATGTGAGACTTTTGAGAAAGAAAGTAGCATGATCAAGTTTTCCTTGAAGAAAATCAATCTGGGAGTAGTATGGTAGGTAGGTGGCAACAAACTCAAAGCAGGAACACTAAGTAAAATGCTGTTACAGTAGATCAGGTTTCGAAGTGATGACCACATGGGCAGGTGGTATAGGAGTTAAGGAAGCTGACTAATAAATCTGAGAGTCATTGTATACCTGTAGGTAACTGGATATGGATGCTGATAGAGAGGGATGAGACGTGATACTTAGTACTTAAGTAACTGGGAGAATGTTAGTGCTTTTAACAGAAATAAAGGTGACAGGATGAGGATAGTTGCTGGCATATAAATAGGTGCTCAGTTAATTGATGGTATTAAGTTTGTATTATTTATGCTTCAGCTATACCCGTTCACCATTCCTAGAATCTAACATACACATTCCTGGGATGACATCATTAATAGTAAAATGATGATATAGTGATGAAGATGATGGCAACTTTAATTTATGTAACATTTATGCATTATGTAATGGGGTTGCCATGAGTTGGGAGTGACTCAATGGCAACTGTTTTTGTTCTTTTTTTATTGTGTACCAAATTTTTTTTTCATGTGTCTAAGGTCACCTAGCTAGTAAATAGCAGAGCTCATACTTGAATGAGAGTGTGGCTGAATCCAAACCTGAGTTTTTAACTGCTACACTGTGCTCCTTCTCAGGTAATTGGAAATGTAGATCTGGATCTCAAATTAGACGTGCACTTAAGTAAGTTTATTTATTTATTTTTTTAATTGTACTTCAGGTGAAGGTTTACAGAACAAATAGTTTCTCATGAAACAGTAGTACGCGTATTGTTTTATGACATTGGTTAACAACCCCACGACATGTCAACCTTCTCCATTCTCGACCTTTTTTTTTTCTTTTGGTGAAAATATACACAGCCAAAGGTACACCATTTCAAAAATTTCTACATGCACAGTGCAGTGACATCAACTACGCTCTTCCGATTGTGCTGCTATTCTCACTTTAGCTGAAGGTTTACAGAACAAAATAGTTTCTCATTAAACAGTACACGTTTCCCTGTGACAGTGGTTAACAACCCCACAACACATCCACACTATCCTTACTCAACCTTGGGTTCCCTGTCACCTGCTTTCCTGTCCCCTTCTGCCTTCTGGCCCTTGTCCCTGGACTGCTGTGCCTCATTAGTCTCATTTGGTTTTATGGGGCTGTCCACTCCCACGCTGAACGGTGAACCTCAGAAGTGACTTCACCACTGAGCTAAAAGGGTGTCTGGGGGCCATACTCTCGGGGCTTCTCCAGTCTTCTTTAGGCCAGGGAATCTGGTCTTTTTTTTGTGAGTTAGAATTTTGTTCTACATCCTTCTTCAGCTCTGTCCAGAACCAGTAAGTTTATTCTTAATTGACTTACAGCTACATGTCTAGCAATCATTTGTTTTGACGATGAGCAATGGTTGTTACTGATAATTGCATCCCACATGATCAGCACTGTGCACAGTAAAACTAGCTGTATTATACCTCTGGGAATTAGTTTTGTGGATAACTGAGGTTAATGATTTAAATGTCAAAACTTTACTTTTTAACAATTTAATTATTTTGGTTGGTATTCTAAAATATATTGTATTCTTTGTAGGTTTTTTGCTTTCTACAATGTGCATTTATCATTTTTATAATTAGGAAAATACTAAAATAAATTGTATTTCATGTGCTCCCATTTTCTTAAACAATGTATCCTAAATATAATTTGATTTTCTCTTGATGATGCAGGGTTATCGTCATGAGCATATTATTTTAGTGGATTTTATGATATAATGGTAATATCAGATATCTCAAGTGGTGGGGGGTAGTTTATCTTTATAATAAATGGCTTTATGCTGGAGTATTTTGACAGTTCTTATGTCTTTTTAAAATGAAATAGTTTTTCTGTCTCATTTGCTATTTGTAGTTGTCTTCTTTCCGTCCTCAGTATACAGACTTGGAGCAATTTTTTGTCCTTTTGCTGCTTCTAACCTGTAATAGTCTAGGAAACTGGTTGACCGTTCATTTCAACTTTATGCACAATAAATGCAACTAGGTTCTGGATAAAAGCTTTAACACACCTGTGACCAGAGTTCATGAGCTTTATTTAATATGTGGACTTTGAGGTTTAACGTCCCAAAGTTTTGTGCTTTCACTTCTTTGCTCCTGCCTGCATTCTACATGGCTAAGGCATTGTATTTGGTTTTAAGAGCTATTAAAGAACATTGTTTTTTATTCTTTTAAATTAATTTAATATAGAAATAAATCTCTAAAATACAGTTAATTGTCATGAAGCTTTGTTTCTCAAATGTCAGTTTTTAACTTAGAAATCTTTCTCTTGACATTGTTGGATAGATTCTGTTAGATTGTAAATATGGGTTTAAAAAAATCATTAATAATTGATGTGGATGGACATGGCTAAAAGACTGTGAAGAACAATATTAGTAATTTTGGGTAGATGGCATTAATTATAATTTTGTGAACAACTAAAAAAAATTACAGGTACAAAGTCTAAAAAAAGACATGATTAGGTATAAATATTTCTTAAAAGATTATCATCTCAGAGATTTAAAAAATATCATTGTATTTAATACATAGGACTTACAAGTAAAAGTCAAATACTATTTTAATGACTCAACAGGAAATTGGCATTACTGTATTGTTTCAATTGTGTTTAAAATGGAAGCCTATTGCTATAGTTTACTCAGCTCCATCTTGGCGTACTCTATTAATCCCATAAACTCTGCAACCCAATAAGATCCCAGTGTATCCATGTTCAGAGGAGAAAGCGTAAACTCATTTTCATTTAACTTGCTGCCTCCTGTGCTGACAGGTACTTATTAACACATCTACTTTATGAAATACTGTGTGAATAGTTGAAAATAGTTGAAACCATATGCCAGGCACTTTTCCAGTTGTGCTGGGGTACATCAAGTAAACAAACCAAAATCTACCCTTGTGGAACTTGTATTGTGGAGAAGAATAAAGCAGCATAAAGAATAGAGAGAGACTGGGGGTAGTGTTGCTGTTGGGACATGAAAGTTCTGTGCTAAATAGAATCTGATGTCACAATGGTATTTGGTAAATTTGGTTAGTATATTTCTTCAGGCAACAAGAGATTGATATAGAAAATCTCCAGTATTTTTGAAAACAGAAAATCGGTAGCAAATTATGACTAGAGAAATGCATCTTGTAGAACACATCTTGTGACAAGAAGGTATGTCTGCATTCAGAAACAAGGCTATTAAATTTAAAATTATATTTGTGATTAATTAATTCAGTAAGAAGTAACAAACATTGTTCCCTGCTGTCTGCAGATATAACCCCTTTGATATGTGGTAGAGATTGAATAAGGTATTTGTGTTTGGCTAATTTTGTTTCTTCCCTTTTTCTCATTTTTCTTTAGTGTGAAAATTGGTGACTAAAGTTTTCAAAGCTTGGATTCAAATATATTAATACTTTTTAAAAAAGATAATGTTCTAAAATGCATATTCCTGTTGGCCATTACAATTTTAGTGTTTAGCATAAATACCTGATTTTTATGTTACAGTAATAATGACATTTTTTATTTGTGTAAAAAGTTTTCTTAAAGGTTATATTCTTCATTTTCATATTAAATCATTATCTAAATATTTCCAGGTGACATGCAGAATGTAAATAAAGAAGATAAATCTTTAAGTCTGAGTATGCCTGTAATTACAGAAGAAGAGGAAGAGCAGAATGAAACTTTTAGTAAAAGAGGTACGGATGAAACTTTGTCAAACTACTGAAAGAAACATGGTTTAGATCCTTTGAAGGGCATAACAGTTGGCTGTGTGTTTCTGTGATTCTTTATAATTGGCACATTGGAGAATTTTAGTATTAATCATAGCATTAATCATAACACTTAAAAGTGAATGGTAATACAATAAATGAATGGATGTGGGGGCAGGGGTAGAGGTGAGAGATGAAGGATAGGATAATACTGTTATCAGTAAATGAATATCCCTATTCATGGGAATGTTTATAATATATTCCCATCAAGTGACAAGGTTTACAAAATATGTATTTCTGGATATAAATTTAAAAGTAAGACGTTTTATTATAAAAAATGCTTATTTTAAATTTTAATAAATGTAAAATTTTCACCTATGAAATGATGTTTGTAACTAAATAGTGGCATATTAAACAACATGAATTAAAATAGTTTTACTTTGTAATGTTGTAGTTTTAATAATTTGTAGTAGTTATTAAACAACAGTTTATTATCTGCTATAACAATTATACTATTGCTGAGAATAAGTTATATTTAACAAGGTAGGCTTGATGATTGGTAATCTATCAGTAATAATGAGTGTAATGTGTATTAATATTAAGAAAAAGGCCTGACTGTTCTTTTCATTCATTCGACAAGCATTTATTGCCTACCGTGTATCAAGGAGCCCTGGTGGTGCTGTGGTTAAGAGCTTGGCTGCTAACCAAAAGGTCAGCAGTTTGAATCCACTAGCTGCTCCTTGAAAACCCTATGTGGCAGTTCTGCTCTGTCCTACAGGGTCACTATGAGTAGGAGTTGACTCGACGGCAACAGATTAGGTTTTGGTTAGGTACCGTGTATCAAGCACTTAACTAGGTACATTTGATATTCTTTAATATATCTTTACTTCCCACCCCCAAACACATGCATAGTCCCCACCCCCCACCTTCCCAATATACCTATTTTAGTTAAATCAGTATTCAGCATTTACAGAATGCTATTGAAATGCGTCTGTCAGTTTGTCATACTGTGGTGGCTTGCATATTGCTGTGATTCTGGAAGCTATGCCACCAGTATTTCAAATACCAACAGGGTCACCCGTAGTGGACAGGTTTCAGCTGAGCTTCCAGACTAAGAGACACTAGGAAGAAGGACCTGGCAGTCTACTTCTGAAAAAATTGGCTAGTGAAAACCTTATGAGTAGCAGCAGAACATTGTCTGATATAGTTCCAGAAGATGAGCCCCTCAGACTGGAAGGCACTCAAAATATGACTGGGGAATAGCTGGCTCCTCAAAGTAGAGTTGACCTTAATGACATGGTTGGAGTCAAGCTTTTGGGACCTTCATTTGGTGATGTAGCATGACTCAAAATGAAAAGAAACAGCTACAAACATCCATTAACCATAAGAATGTGGAATGTACAAAGCATGAATATAGGAGAATTGAAAGTCGTCCAAAATGAAATGGAACTCATAAACATTGATAACCTAGGTGTTAGTGAACTGAAATGGAATGGTATTGGCCATTTTGAACTGGATGATCTTATGGTCTGCTATGCCGGGAATGACAACCTGAAGAGCAATGGCATTGCGTTCATCATCAAAAAGAACATTTCAAGATCTATCCTTAAGTATAACACTGTCAGTGATAGAATAATATCCATATGCTTACAACGAAGACCAGTTAATATGAGTATTATTCAAATTTACTCACCAACCACAAAGGCCAAAGATGAAGAAATTGAAGATTTTTACCAACTTCTGCAGTCTAAAATTGATCAAACATGGAATCAAGATGCATTGATAATTACTGGTGATTGGAATGCGAAATTTGGAAACAAAGGAGAAGGAACAGTAGTTGGAAAATATGGCCTTGGTGATAAAAACAATGCCAGAGATTGCATGATGGAATTTTGCAAGACCAATGACTTTTTCATTGCAGATACCTTTTTTCAACAACATAAACGGTGACTGTACATGTGGACCTTGCCAGGTGGAATACACAGGAATCAAATTGACTACATATGTGGAAAGAGATGATGGAAAAGCTCAGTATCATCTGTGAGAACAAGGCCAGGGGCTGACTGTGTAACAGACCATCAATTGGTGATATGCAAGTTCAGGTTGAAGCTGAAGAAAATTAGAGCAAGTCCACAAGAGCCAAAGTATGACCTTGAGTATATTCCACCTGAATTTAGAGACCATCTGAAGAATAGATTTGACTCATTAAACACTAATGACTGAAGACCAGATGAGTTGTGGAATGACATCAAGGACATCATACGTGACGAAATCAAGAGGTCATTAAAAAGACAGGAAAGAAAGAAAAGACCAAAGTGGATGTCAGAAGAAACTCTGAAACTTGCTCTTGAACGTAGAGTAGCTAAAGCAAATGGAAGAAATGGTGAAGTAAAAGAGCTGAACAGTAGATTTCAGAAGGTGGCTTGGAAAGACAAAGTATAATGAAATGTGCAAAGACCTGGAGTTAGAAAACCAAAAGGGAAGAACATGCTTGGCATTTCTCATGCTAAAGAACTGAAGAGAAAATTCAAGACTCGAGGTGCGATATTGAAGGATTCTATGGGGAAAATATTAAATGACGCAGGAAGTATTAAAAACAGATGGAAGGAATACACAGAGCACTGTGCCAAAAAGAACTGGTCGACCTTCAGACATTTCAAGAGGTAGCATACGATCAAGAACCGGTGGTACTGAAGGAAGAAGTCAAGCTGCACTGAAGGCATTGGTGAAAAACAAGGCTCCAGGAATTGATGGAATACCAATTGAGATATTTCAACAAATGGATGCAGCACTGGAAGCACTCACTTGTCTGTGCCAAGTAATTTGCCAACCAACCGGAAGAGATCCATATTTTTACCCATTCCAAAGAAAGGTTATCCAACAGAATGTGGAAATTATCAAACAACATCATTTATATCATACGCAAGTAAAATTTTGCTGAAGATCATTCAAAAGTGGTTGCAAAACTACACAGACAGGGAACTACCAGAAGTTCAAGCTGGTTTCAGAAGAGGACGTGCAACCAGGGATATCATTGCTGATGTCAGATGGATCTTGGCTGAAAGCAGAGAATAGCAGAAAGATGTTTACCTGTGTTTTATTGACTATGTAAAGGCATTTGACTGCATGGATCATAACAAATTATGAATAAAATTGTGAAGAATGGGAATTCCAGAACACTTAATTGTGTTTCTGTGGAACCTGTACACAGACCAGGAGGCAGTCGTTCGAACAGAACAGTGTGCTACTGGGTGGTTTAATATCAGGAAAGGTGTGCATCAGGGTTCTGTCCTTCATCATACTTATTCAATCTGTATGCTGAGCAGATAATCCAAGAAACTGGACTATATGAAGAACACTGCATCAGGATCGGAGGAAGACTCATTAACAACCTGAAGTCTGCAGATGACACACCTTGCTTGCTGAAAAGGACTTGAAGCACTGGTGAAGATCAAAGACTAAAACCTTCAGTATGGATTGCACCTTAAAATAAAGAAAACAAAAATCCTCACAACTGGACCAATAAGCAACCCTCATAATAAATGGAGAAAAGATTGAAGTTGTCAAGGATTTCATTTTACTTGAATCAACAATCAATGCCCATGGAAGCAGCAGTCAAGAAATCAGAAGACGCACTGCATTGGGCAAATCCGCTGCAAAGACCACTTTAAAGTGTTAAAAAGCAAAGATGTCACTTTAAGGACTAAGGTGCACCTTGACCCAAGCCATAATATTTTCACTTTCCTCATATGCATGTGAAAGTTGGACAATGAAGAAGGAAGACCAAAGAAGAATTGATGCCTTTGAATTATGGCGTTGGCAAAGAATATTGAATATACCTTGAACTGCCAGAAGAATAAACGAATCTGTCTTGGAGGAAGTACAGCCAGAATGCCCATTAGAAGCGCAGATGGTGAGACTACATCTCATATGCTTTGGACATGTTATCAGGAGGGACCGGTCCCTGGAGAAGGACATCATGTTTGGTAAAGTAGAGGATCAGGGAAAAAGAGGAAGACCCTCAGTAAGATTAACTGACACAGTGGCTGCAACAGTGGGTTCAAGCATAGCAACAATTGTGAGGATGGCACAGGACTGGGCAGTGTTTCGTTCTGTTGTACATAGGGTCACTATGAGTCGGAACTGACTCAATGACACCTAACAACAACATTGACAACAGGGCCATGTAGTATACTATGATTCGTCCTTTTATCTGCACATTTTTTTTCATAGAGTCAATAATGTTTTTTGCTTTTTTAATTCATTTGTTTATTCTTCCTAGGTATTTATCACTAATTTATCCCCAAACTCTTCCTCAGTTATGTAAATCTCTTCTCAGTTCTCAAGCATATTAGGTATTCTGTTAGTTTCATCTTGTTAAAAAAGTCTCTCCCAGACCTCTAAACTGCTTTAATCTGGACAGTTTGTTCTCTTGGTCTGCTACGTTCTTTATCCTGGTTACTGCTTTCTCAAGGAATCTGTTTTCTTTTTCTTCTCAATTTTTCCTCATCTTTTTCCTTTTCCTGCTGTTCCTCTTTTGTTTTTTGTTGTTGGGGAGTTTTTCTCTCCTTCACATCTTTCATAATTTTCATGTTTTTGTCTCTTTTGTTACTTTTTTTTAATGTTTAATAACTTACATTCACAGCTGTTTCCAGATGAGCACTTTTTGAGTGTTGGTTATGTCAATTGCTGTAGTAGCCTGAAGGATGTATGGTACTAGTGCTTTGGATTATGTTTTCAGACTAAATTGACATGAAATTGAAATCTTAGTAATTTACTTCATCTCTCTTAGCAGTGGTCTAGATACCTTTCATATCTGGCACACTTGTAGAGAGGACATACCATATGAAACAATTTCAAAGTAGCTTATTAAGTAGAATTTAGGATGACAAAGATTCATATGGAAACCCTGGTGGCTTAGTGGTTAAGAGCTATGGCTGCTGACCAAAAGGTCAGCAGTTCGAAACCACCAGGTGCTCCTTGGAAACTGTATGGGACAGTTCTGCTCTGTCCTATAAGGTCACTGTGAGTTGGAATCGACTTGATGGCAACGGGTTTTGTTTTTTTTTTTAAGATCCATATTAGGAAGTTTTAAACTTTAATCTCATTTTGAAGGAAAAAGGCATGTATATGGTCATGTTTAAGGTTCTTACGGGATCTTTGCTGTTATACCAATTAAACATCTATATAGTTTAAATGTGTATTGTTAACTAAGTACTATTTTTGTATCTAACAGACTTCTAAATTTTATGTCTTTAGAGTTCACCGTACCTAAGAGAAGAACACTGAATAAAGTACCTGGTATATAAAGTTTTTAATTTTGAGCTGTCTGCCAAAAGATGCACATTTGATGTATTGAACAGGAAGACCACCAGTATTAAAAATAATTATTCTGGGAAGCTCTAGGTTATTTCTTTGAAATGGTAATATCTTTCCACCGTTTTAGAATAAAGGTGCAGAAAAATTAAAGTAAGAATTTACTCTGAAATTTAATTTTAACATTTTCTTTTATAAAACCTGCATAAATTGAGATAAAATTTGGATTTAGAATGTAATAGAAGTCCTGTTAATTGAAGACTGTTATTCTGTAACTTTTTGTGATATTATAGACCTACTTGTCACTTACTATCTTGTTATCTGACGTTTCACATTTACAACAACTTTCAAAAAATTCTCAGGCTGTGCCTCTGATGGTCTGGGCCCCATGCGGGGCTGCGGCTAGGCCCTCTAGGGTAACCTCTGCGGGCCATCCTGAACGATACATGGGAGGCAGCAGAGGAAGGATGAGTAGGGTCTGCGCCCAGGGTGGCAGAGGGAGGCAGTGGGTAGCGGGCAACCCTCCACCACAACCACTCCCAACCCCTGCGGGCACCCGATGGGCAGTGAGTGACTGGAGGACACCAGCGCCAAAGATGGGGCACGGCCCTTGACTCTCGCTTAACGCTGATTTCACATAACGACCTGTTCTTTGGATCTTAACCATGTCGATAAGTGAGGAGTAAATGTACTGTGTTAGTACAGTTTTAATAATACTAACTGCCATTTTATTTAAAATCTTTTTACTTGAAATATTGTTATTACATGTAAGTAGCTAATTATTTTGTGTCTATAATTTGGTAATGGATTTGTTCATGATGTATATTTACTATTTTGGATGTTTGTTATGGTGAAGTGCAATAAAGCTTTTGCCTTATTTGCTTTATATATTAAACTTACATGATTGATAAATTATTTGATAACTTAGGAAGTTCATAACTCAGTTTCTGTTTTTGTAATCAATTGAATATTCTTTAGTGCTTGTTTTAAAACTCCTTTTAGTCTGACGTGTATGTGAGACGGTATATGTGTATGTGTGGATATATGTATGTATGTGTGCATATACACACATATATGACTGAACAGTACATTGTTTAAGTACAGTATTTAAATGCAGATTATTTTTTTTTACAACTAACATGTACTGAATTACTCAAAATTCCCATTAGATAAATTTGATTAAATATGGCAGATACCCTTCTAAATTCTCTTTTTATTATTATTTTTTTTATTGTTGTAGTTTAAATGAAGTTTACATTTCAAGTTAGTCTCCCATACAAAAATTTATACATACATTGTTATGTAACCCTAATTGCTCTCCCTATGCCGTGACAGCACACTCCTCCTTTCCACCCTGATTCCCCATGTCCATTCAGCCAGCTCCTAACCCTCTCTGCCTTCCCATCTCACCTCTGGACAGAAGCTGCCCATTTAGTCTCTTGTATCTACTTGAGCTAAGAGGCACATTCCTTATGAGTATCACTTTATGTCCCACAGTCCAGTCAAATCCCTGTCTGAAGAGTTGGCCTCGGAAATTGTTTTAGTTGTGGGCTGATAGAGAATCCAGGGGCCATGCTTTCCGGGGTTCCTCCAGTCTCAGACCATTAAGTCTGTTCTTCTTACTAGAATTTGAGTTCTGCACCCCACCTTTCTCCTGCTCCATCTGGGACTCTCTGTTGTTTTCCCTGTCAGGGCGGTCATTGGTGGTAGCCAGGTAAATGCAGATTATTTCTAATAAAAGCTTTTAGAGTGGTAGTATAAATTCCAAAATGTGTTTATAGAATAGAATACTTGGTACTTAGAAAAAAATTCTGTAGCTTCATGAATATGGCTTTCTGTTTCGTATGCCAGACATCTAAATAGAGTTTGAGTTGTGTCGTCTGAATTGCTGCCAGTAGTATACCATCTCCATATCATGTGGTTGGCTCAACCTATCATACAGTTCGTTATTCTCAAACTTGTTTTCCATCACTGTATTGTTCAGGGATTTAAAATCTGGATTGAAGACTAAATCCAAATCTACAAATATCCTGTGAGTGAAAATGTGTGATATCTATCTATATATATATGATCTTTTAAAATCAGTATACAAATGCTAATCTGAATTAACTCTCATTTGTTAGAAACCATGCTATCAAAGTAAGTACTAAAAGCAATTGTTTCCCTTGACTAACTCTGAATGTTTTTGCTAATAGGTCAGTTTTCATAACGTGGACGCTGGGCAGAGCTTCTGGGATTTCAGTACTCTAAGATTGGGACACTTGGAGATGTGGATTTCTTATTGGCCTTTTGTATACTAGGTTATTTTCTAGAATTTTCCTGATCGTTAAAGTTAACAACATTATACAGCTAACACAGTGAATTGACTTCTATTTTTTCACAACAGTACTTATAAAGTAAAACCCAGAAACAAAAAGCCATTGCCATCTAGTTGATTCTGACTCACAGCAACTCTGTAGGACAGAGTAGAACTGCCCCATGGGGTTTCCAAGGAGCGGCTGGTGGATTCAACCTTCCGACCTTTTGGTTAGCAGCCAGATGCTTAACCACTGCACCACCAGGGCCCTGATACTTATAAAGTCAATGGTATCATTTCACTTGTAATTTGAAGAAATTGTACCTCAGGATGGTAAATGACATGCCCAAGTTCACAAAGTTAGTAAGTTATGCATCTAGGATACAAATCCAGGGCTCTGGTCTGTAATTCCAGTGTCTTTCTACATAAGGCAACAGATGTGGAAATCCAGAGGGATGCTTTTGGCTCTAAGCTGTAAAACTCCAAAGTGGCTTAAACAATAAGGAAAGTTTATTATAAAACCAGTTATTCCCAATGCAGGATGGCTCTGGGTTGTATAGTACATCAGTTCTGTAATGGCTTCATATACCCAAGTTTGGGTTTTTACTTGCTTCGACTCTGCCATCCTTAGTATGTTGGCCTGTTGTCTGGTGGGTGTCACATGCAGATTTGGCAGCATCCACTTTCTTTTCCTTGTGCCTCTTTCTAAGTGCAAAGAAATCTTTCCCAAATAGCACCATCCCTATCTACCAATAGCAGACATTCTTTAGTAGATATGTCGATTACTGGCAAGAGGAATGCAGATTATTTAAACTAATCAAGACTTATCTCTAGAACTGTGGCTAGGATAGAGATGAACACCTGAAAAGGGCTGTGCTAGCATGAAAGAAGGGAGGAATAGCTGCTGGGTAGGTAACCAGCACTGTTTGCCACAGAAGAGCGTGTTCTTCTATGCCAAAAGTTACATTCAGTTTACATACGTTAAATTTTTTTGTTATTATACAGAACCTTTTTTTTAAAAAAAAAACCCACATCTTAATTGTTTAAAATCTTAATTTGTTTTCTTATTACAAAAGTAATGCTTATTAAAAGGTCAGCCTATAGTGATAACTGAAATAATCTTCAATTTTCAATGCATATAATTCGTTCATCCACTACCTTTTAAGAGAGATGGGAGAATAGCAAACTATTTTGCAACTTTGGTTTTGCTCTTAATATATTTTGGGCATCTCTCCATGTTCATTAATTTTAATCACTGCATTTATTTAACCAATGCTCTGTTGTAGGACCTTAGGTTCTGTGTCAGGGGTTCCCAAGACCACCCCCAAGGTTTCAGTGATTGACTAGAAGGACTCACAGGACTCAGCATGTAGTTGGACTCACAGCTAAGATTTATTACAGCGTAAGGATACAAAGCAAAACCAGCAAAGGAAAAAGGCACGTGGGCGAAGTCTGGAGGAAACCAGGCACAAGATTCCAAGAGTCCTATGCCAGTGGAGTCATGCAGGACATGCTTACTTCTCTAGCAATGAGTTGTGACAACATGTGTGAAGTGTTGTCTAATTCTAATAGGGAAGCTCATTAGACACTCAGTGCCCATGCTTTTTATTGGAGGGTGGTCATGTGGGCACCTTTTCCCTTGAGTGTGCCAAAATTCCAGACTCCCAGAAGGAAAGCAGGTGTTCAACATAAATCATTGTTTGTACAAACAGTTTAGGCACAGTGAGCCACTCTTATCATTTAGGAAAAGCTCTGATATCAGTGTAGGGAACTGTTGTATCAGCCAAGTTCCCAGTTGCCAGCCAGGGATCAAGTTAAGCAAGACTTTCTAAGGATAGCAGTCTCAGGCCTGCTATGTTACCTCTTTTCTGCACAGATTAATTTCATTTCTCACAATTTCAAGTAATACTACATTGTGTATAACTTGACTCACTTGTGTTGGTATTCCTGTTGGGTAGATCTGAACATGAACTTACTTGGTCAGTGTGTTCATATAAAATTTTATTAATTATTGCTCAGTTGAGCTGAAAAAAGATTGCCAATGTATACTTCCACTAACAGTATTTGTGAGTGACTCCTTCTTCACACTCAATTGAATACAGCCTGAATCTTAACTGAAGCAAATATAAAAAGGTAAAAGTAACAAAACTCTATTAAGCAGATGAGAGTTACTTGATTCATGTGGCAAAGTACAGTGCTTTAGCTGATAGTGAGTTTTTCATTTACAAATTTTGAAGAAAGTATGAATCACTTGATAGATTGAATTAAATGTGAGACTGAAGGATATTGAACAAGTAGGAAATGTTTGTGTCTATTAATGGTTTTAACTGCACCAAGTCATAAATAATGATTTTAATATTAAGTATTTTTTAATGTTTTGTGATAGTGTACATGAACCTACCCCTTTGCCGTTAAGTTGACTCTGACTCATAATGACCCTATAGGGCTAGGCTTTCCAAGAAACGGCTGGTGTATTTTAAAACTGTACCACTTTACTTTTAGAAATCTTAATCTATGAAAGTATTGTTTAGAGAATTGGAATTATAGTAGTTTTAATGTTACATACCAGATTTACTTGTGGTACCTTAAAAAAAAAAGTAGAACCATAAAGAAAATGCAACTTGTATGAATATTTTAGGATGAGAATTTTTGTACTATAATTTCTTCAGAAGAAGGCTACCCTAGTAATGTGCAGTTCTCTATGGGGAATCATAGTGTGTTGTCTTTGTTTTCTTTTCTGATACAATTATGGGCTTATGTTGTAAGCACACCCTAAGATTCCATCTGGGTTTATAACCCCTTTCTTTTAATGCCTTGAAGGTTACTTAACTGTGAGTGGACGTATTTAATGAAGGGAAGCATCCCCAATCTCTTCAACACCCAATTTAAGTGCTTGTTCCCTGAAACAGAAACAGTTGTACCATCTGCAAGGTGTTTTCTACTGCCAAAGTCTTTTGGGCAAAGACTTTGTCTTATACTGGGATTTTCTAGAACAGTGATATAATAGGGAAATGCATTACAGGCTTTACTGAAATGATTTGAATACTTGTGTTTTTCTGGTCTAGAAACTAGAAAGTCAGAAATTTGTATCCTGGTTCTACCATTGACTCATTGTGTATCCTTAAAATATTCATTTGTTTTTGGTTAAATCCTTTTCTTGGCTGTAAATTCAAGATAATAATACAGAATTATTTTACTGACTTGTCAAAAAATACTGAGAACTTCATAGTGGTTTGAAAATACAAAGATACGAATGCTAATCTTCAAAATAATTGCAGCTGGAAAGTATAAGCTTTTAAAAAGTACTTGAATGCCAAGGAAACCAAGGTGATTATTAGTGTTTAATGTGGTGACTTAGGTAATTTTCTTAAGTCATGATAATTGAAAGCCTGTGTGTTTTACACACATCGTCAGATAAGAGGCCGTATTCTCAGGTTCTACTGACAATTTAAGGAGTATCTGGTTTCCTTTTGTCAGCTTGAATTAGGTACAATGTATAACGTCTTCCCAATAATCTATATTGGTTAGAACGAAAAGATTCACACGTGCGTAGAGAGATAAAATACATTTGAGGAATTTTTAAAAAATGAACTTTATGAACTGAAATTACTTTCACTCTGACGCAAAGAACCTAGGAAAATAAGCATAATTACTAAGTCTTCCCAACTTACGCGTGGTTTTTGAATTAGATTACAGTTTGAAGAATGCTTGCTTTTTAAATGGCATTGAGAGGATTCTGTGGGTGCTTAACGATTCACATTTTCACTTTTGAATAACTATGTAGTAATTTTAAGTGCACATTGTTCTTGTTCCTTGTGTTAAAGTAAATGCCAAAGCCTAAAACCTCAGGCTGTATAACCCCTTCTAACTGGTATTTTTTTATGCCTGACT